AAGGACTTGTGATCGTTTGCAAGTACCAGTGGCGCATCGAAGGTGCTTGTGCGGCACATTGGTGCTGCAATCCTATTGTCTCAGCGAACATCGCTTTTTTTAAAGTTTGTGTATTTGCTATAGAAAGCTTAAAATACGTCCAAGTTATTATCCAAAAACTCAGTTGGCGATACCACTGGTTGGATGTAGGGCTCACAATAATTACTGGAGAAAACATTTCTAAAATAGCTACACCCAAGTTGTCATTCTGATGTGCATTCGTTTTGAACGGCCACTTCATGCAAAAAGCATTTCCTTGTAAGAAAAATATACATATAACTTTACACCAAAAAATACATTCAGATGATAAGAAAGGTATACTAAAAATGGAAAGTTAGACTAAAAATGAGGTGATAGATAGAGTGAGTTCACATTTTCACATCACAACGAAGTCTGCAGTTAGAAGCCGTACTTCTGTCGTCCTATTCTTCTCATCTGTTTGCTCTCAGCCCATTGTTGCTGGAGCGCTTCCTCTCGGGCAACAGCCTTAATATGCCATTAAGCTAGACTACTGCAGACAACAAAACCTTCCTTACCAGATTCGCTAAATAAGTGATCTGATGCTTTCTCTTTGAAGTTGCATCAGCCGCATTTTTCGGTTTTGGAAGAGGTGCCATAGCGTCTCGGGCACGAACATTTGAATGCAAATTTTTCAAAAGTGTTGCATGCACGTCAGGCCCCAACGCCTAGAAACGAAGCACAATCGAAACTGACTTTAATTAGAAACGGAATGAAAAAAGTGGAAGAACAGCAAATGAAAAGACATACATCGTCCACTCTTATGTCCACTATATCTGCAGCTGCTGAGTTGTAAGAACGTTGATCTAGTCCCATAGGGGTAACTTCATACTTCATGATGAGACGATGCGCCTCCTAGTTATATTGAAAGTAAAAAGCAAGAACATAGAAACAAACTGTTGTTTTTGACAAAAGCGCAAATTTCATCAAAAACAATCAATGTGAAGAACATTATATTCTTAGCGAATAAGTCCAACTTGGAAAATGTGAAAGTATTAGCAACAAAAAAATCATTTACGGGCTGAAACTCACCTCATCAGTAATGATGCCTTCAGGCTCTGTCATACCACTTGAAGATGGTTGAACCTCAGGATATCCATAAGCACCAACAACGTCATCAACAACGTCCTAAATAACACCGTACAACATCACAGTTATCGTAACATTTAAGACACTCCACAACTACTTCTTTCTCAGGACGAGAGGGTCCCATTACATCAGCTACGCCAGGGACAAGCGCTGGTATGTCTCCAACTCTAGGGACCTTCGGCTCAGGAGCTGATGACAAACCGAAGAAGTCTGTTGGCAAATCGTCATCATCGGAGTCTTCCGAAGCAGTAACAGCAGGACGTTTTGCTCCTGCAGATTGGCTAGGCGGCTGAAGAGATGATGGGTTGAAACGAAGCGTGAGAGGTTGCAAATGAAACATACGAAAAATTATTCAATGACGACGCATAAAACATACGTACTTTGAGTAAGGTAGGAGTAGATTTCATTTTGTTCTTCAGCGATGGCGGTAGCATAATACCGCCTCCTTTGTTTCCTCCACTACCAAAACCGCTACTATTTGCACTCCTTTTTGGAGTTGGTAACATGGCCAAAAGACCAGATCCCTTAGGTTTTGAAAGAATGCTTGGAGGTTCGGCTGCCTAAAAAACTTTTTTTTTTTCAAAAAAAAATTGGCAAGACAGCACTAAAAACTCAAGATAGTTGCATACGAAAATGGTTTGAGACATTGTGAACTTACCTGCTCCTCGTCGCTGTTGCTGTCAGCGCCATCTACGATTGCACTTAGTGCACCAAAAGCAGCTATTTTCGCTTTGCCTAAATCTTTGTACTAAAAAAGAAATTATGTTTAAAAAAGATGGTGTGTGGACTAAGAAGCGGTATTCACTTGAGAAAGTAGGATTACCTTTTGGAGGTTTCTCGCGAATTACAGGTAGACCTTCTGTTGAGATCTTTCCGCCCTCTTTCTCCTTCTTTTCCTTTTTTTGTTTTTTCTTCACCTGAAATCTACTTCAATCTGGATATTTTCACTTCAATTCAAATCAGTCACTATGCACGAGGAAGCTCGCCTTTTTTTCTTGACGACGCTTCTCCTTTTCTCCCATCTTCCGCTCCCAGTCTTTCGGCTTTACAATATCTTCTAATTCTCCTTCAGCTGCTAAGTTTACTGTGTTTGTTTCAATAACTGAGGGCAAGTTCAGGGTAGATGATCCTAAAAAAGCTTTGTTCTTACTTAGCTTACAGGGGAAAACTGAATAGACAACAATGTAGAAGGAACTAAACAAAAGTAAAAACCTTCAAAAACATCATCTGCAGCCAGGTGTGGTTCTTCGTGACCATTTGCTTTTGTAGAGGTAGGTTTCGATGCAGTAACGAGGACGGGCTGTAATAATAATATTGAATTAGTAATATAAGAAGTGAAAATTAGCAAATAACCACAAATATGCATATTTCTAAACCATCTGCTTCGAAAAAAACAAGTTTTGCTAGAACTAGAGAGACCTATATCTGTTATGGAACGCACATATGCAATAGGGTGCAAATATTGCCCAGGTAGTGACTTCTCAAGATAGTGATTCGTTTGAGGAGGTGAAAAAAACGATCTTGTATGGATATTTGCAGGTCCTCCGCCATATGCAAGGATAGAAGATCGCGAAGGACGATGATAAACTTACATATTGAAACTATTCCCATACATAATTATGAAAATAAATGCGCATAGTTAAGCTGTTTTTACAGAAGAACTGTGCTAAAAGAATGATTTTGACGTCATTACCTTGGATCAGAGTCGTTCAATTTTAGCCGTCGTCAGCTGCAAGGGTATAAATGGAAGGAGAATTTCTTCTTTTGAGAGATACATAAAACGTAGTACTTGTTATCCTTCGCCACTGTTGCGTTGCTCAACAGAATCTTTCTCAGGCAGCCACTACGAAGACAGATTGATTTGCGAGGGTATTAGCAGTGTTGAGCAACCTCCCATAATAACATAATAAACCATCGATGTGATTCAATTTGCTTTGGAAGAGATCTAGGCTTCCAACTGGACCACGTTTTCACTCGTACCTATAGTTGCAATCGGCTGCGAGAGGAATCGCCCCCATGCACCAACACGAATTCGATTTGTGCTCGCAAATGTTGGTGGAACGCAAGTTTTGCTTCTCTTCACCTTTGTGAATCCATAATTTTCTCATTCTGAAGTAGTACGAATCTGCTAATTTTTATTTCAGGAAATGCTGTATGGACAGTTGATAAAGGTCTCGAATCCGATTTTAAAGCCTCACGCTACTAGTAGTAGTCAAGTTTTAGCATTTATGAGCCTGGAATTCTTGTTTTTGCGGTAATACTGCAACGTCTTACATAGCAA